GAGAGGAGAGGAGAGGAGAGGAGAGGAGAGGAGAGGAGAGGAGAGGAGAGGATGAGTCTGGAGATGTTTGTGGCCCATTTGCCAAGTGTGACCTGTAACTCCTCAGCCTCAGGGTCCCTGACTACTGAGCAGCGCTCTGCCTGATCCACAACTTCCTACTCTGGCTCCAGGATCACATCTAGCATTGCACATGACAGAGGTGCTGCCAATGCTCTTTTCCTGGCTGAAAAGTAGCTGGCTGTACCCACTGCCACTGAACTGCTGTACCCACTGAAGCTGATGACTACCTTTTGGGGTGACTCTCTTCAGACCATCAACAGGTTCTGGGAACACAGTGGAATCCTGGTATAGATTCCCTGGATCTGTGTCCCGGGGATGTTTTCCATTATCTTGTGTGATGGACATCAACGCTACCTGATGAGGAAGAGAATTGGCCACAAGCATCTAGGAAATCTGCATGACATGGTATAGGACAAAGCAAGACATCAATTTGACCCACAAGGACTGGCAGTGGGATCTGAGTTACCCCCTAGCTGTGTCAGTGTCTCCCAGCTGTTCTTTAAGTTTCTGGCACTAGCCCTTGCCCATTCAGAGCCTACTGTGTGTTAAACAGCTGCTCTTGGATTCTGAATCAGTGCTTCTCCAGTGCTACCCCAAGTAGGACAGTAAAACCTCTGAGTCAGACTGTCATGGGACCTGTGGCTTTCAAGGCCTGCCAACTGCTCAATGTTGATTCTTAGGATGCCCAGGGATCTGCTCATCCTGGATGATGGAAGATGACATGTAAAGTCTCACTCAGCCACACAGCTGTCACTTCTGAGTTGCATGGGCCATTTCATGGCCTTAGCCACATGCTGCAAGAGGGAAAGGAAGGACACTATGGTTCTGGCCTTTGTGGGGCCCCTCCACCCACTGAGGAGCTGAAGGAACATCTCAAGGGAATCAGGGTCCCACCCCTCCTGTTAGAGCACACAGTGCTCCTGGCCTTGCATCCTGCCTGAGAGTGATGGTATCGCTTGCCTGCATTCTAGCAGTCTCCACACACCCAGCACTATGGCCCTGACCCTTGCTCCCTGCCACTGAGTTCCTGGTCTTTCCTAGCTGCTATCTAGATAGGGACAGCACAGACAGTGCAGCTACATAGGGGAGCTCCTCCCCTTCAACGATAACCAAGGAGGACATCATAGAATTAGCATAGTGACACCACCTGAATGGGAGGTTCAGAACTTTCCAGTCTTGATTCACTGTCTTCTGCACAATGCAGTAGACAAAGCCTGGCTTTGTGACAGCCCTTGTGTGGTGACCAGCAGAAACAACAGCCAGGACCCTGAAATGAATTCAGAGCTCAGGGACATCCTGGTGCTATTGCCTACCTGGGAACAACTGAGGCTGTCAGTGCAGGTAGGTAGGGTGACAGCTGGGCTTCTGCAACCAGAGGGACAGGGAAGACATCTGGGGAGGGCAGGGAAAGGTAACAGCAGGAATTGTTTGTAGGAGGATCCAGGTGCATGGGGACAAGGGGCCTCCATTTCCCTATGAAGTGCTCCATGCAGCATAGTATAAACCAACCTTACAAGTCACCTGGAATCTTGGCTTCCCTGGTCTCCACAGGGTCCTGGGTTGCTTTGTTCCCCCTCAATCATGGGCTTCCCTGACCCTTATGCTGTCTGAAGCTTTCATGGGCTGAATTTGCTACATGAGACCTACATGATCTCTAAAGAAGTACCCTGTGTCTCCCATTATACAGAGAATGACTGTAATGTGAGGTTGAGAACATCGGCTGAGTTTGCTATGTGGGACCTGTGTGATCTCTAGGAAGAGAGTCCTGCCCCCATTATCCAGAGAGTGACAGTACATGAAAGAACATGGCTTCCCTAGATGATTCCTTTTATCCTCTTGCCCCTTGCCCCTACCACACCCTGGATTCTGACAGATCTCTAGCTACTATCTTCTTGGTCTTCACTCTCTGTCATCTTCCTCACTGTCCTGTCATCAAGGATGTAACTGTCATGGGGCACACCCTTTCCCAAGCCACACATTCCTGCCTACCTTCACTCTTAGCTTTGGATCTTCCTGTGTGATCCAGGCCATTCCTGGGACAGGGGATTTCTAGCTGGAGTAAGGACCCATCACCTCTGCCTGGGAGCCAGCAAAGCCTATGCTGAGGTCACTAGTGTTTTGGGGTTCCATCTAGCATCTGGTGGAAGCACTGAGCAAGTGCTGAGGGGTATAATGACACCCCAGAAGGTGACCATAGTCTACCAAGATGGATGGATGCCTCCTAGCTGCTGCACTCTGCCCACAACTTGGGCATCTACAGAACATTTCCAATGAGGAATTTTTTTTTAAATCAAATGAAGCTGTGGAGGAAATCCTCTAGATCACAGGGAGCACTGAAGGAAAGAGGGCATCTCCTCTCTGTGTTGGAACACATCCTTTCCACTCCCATGGCTGTTCTCTTTGGTGAGAAGTGTTTAAATTTGGAAAATATTGCCTGCCTAGGTCCTGGTCCTGGGATCCAGCCCCTGCCTGAGCAGGTAACACTGCTCCTTTCCTGATCTAGTGCCCCTGCTAAGCCAGGGTCTTATAGGGAAGTTCTGCATATGGATAAAGCCCTCTATTCCAGGTCACAGCCACAGGACAAGAGCTATTCCAGCAAGTGTGTGACATGGCACACATTAGAGAAGCTCACATTTTTGGTCTCAGTGTGCTCAGAGGTAAGCATTGCTTGGCATCTCCAACACAGACTGCTTTAGGGCAAAAAATGGGGGTCCCTGGCTTTAGATGTATCTTGTCACAGACCCTGTCCACAGCTGAACCAATAAGGTTAATAGGCAGTGGGGTCATCTGTGCACACACATACATATGCACCACAAAATGATCATACTACTCACACAAGTACAGAGTATGTATACACATATATGCATATACATCCCCATACAATCACACACCACACATATGTGCACATAAATATAGACCACACAGATAACACAAGCACCACTATGTATATTATGTATATGTATATTACATGACATATATATATACATATATATACATACATATATACATACATATATATATACATACATACATATACATATATATTTAAACCATGTATTCCCTTACATGCTCATTTACATGTATGCTCATGTGCATTTACCATACATGTTCAAACACATGTCTATACTTGCATGGTACACATACATTTATAACTTACACATAGAGAATATCCACACACTAACACACAGGCACACTTCCTTTAAAGCCATTGATGAATTAGTCTTCTGGGATCATGTGGTGCCCAGCTCAGATAACTGTTATCTAATATACAAGACCAAAGCCTGTGGTATGACCAAGACCAAGTCATGCGCACTGTGACCTTCGTCTTCTTAGATGATACTCAACATCCATAAAAGCTGGGTGCCCAGCTGTCCACCCTTTAGGACTTTGACAGCTGGGCAGCCACACCTAGGAAATGGATAATCAGGGAGGGGTCACAGGAGGCCATGGGTAGCAAGGTCAGATCTACTCTTGTTGAGAGGTCTGTAAGAGCCTGAAAGGTAGAGGGGTCTGGGGTGGAAAGGCCCCAGCTAGGTACTAGCTGAGAAAGACAGGTAGCACAAAGTGGGGCTTGCTGAGTCTGAGAGTAAATGTTTTCTCAGACAGTGCAGTCTCCCAGTGTGGGGACACTCCTCATGAGAATGGTTCGATTCCTGTCAACCAGCTTTTCCACACATTTTCCTCCATGCCAGATGTCTCCACAACTCAGGGAACAAATGGTCAGGATACATGCAAGGAAAGAACCCAGGGTTCCCTACTGCCATGCTTAACTGAGGAGTCTGTCTAAACAAGCATGATAGGGTCAGAGCTCATCTGGGGACCTGAAGAGAGCAGAAGGCTGCCAGCTGAGCCAAGCGTGTCAGTCTTTCCAACTGAGCTCTGAATCAATGGACACCTTTCAGATGTGTGCCCAGAGCCTTTCTTATGGAGACCTAGATTCTTAGCATGAACCTTGTGTTCCCTGCTTTAGTTATATTGGGACCTATAGTTTCATCTTTTGGAGCATTGTGTGCCCAGCAGCAAAGGGTGACAGGCCTGTTGATGAAGGCCTGTGACTCCAGCACTTCAGGGGATGAAACAGAAAGACCCTAGATTGAAGGTGTCCTGGATTCATAGTTACCTGAAGACTACCCTGAGCTGTGATACCCTGCCTTGAAACACACACACTCACATGCACACACCCACATGCACGCATGCGCAAACACATAAGCAAGGTGTGAGCTCTCCCTCCAATTTTGAATGGTTGAGACAGAGTGAGCAGGAGAAAGATGGAGTGCTGGTGCATTCTACCTGGCCCTGGTTTGTAGCATTTGGAACTTCTGAGGTCAGGCTTATGTCTGGTTCTCCATCTACTTGGAGCTAGTCTTAAGCTGGACTTCGCTTCACACTAGGTATTGAGACTGAGGAGAATGGAGGATACTGGGATTCTTTACGCAGTCAGTAGGCCTTCGCTCTGTGCCAAGGTACACCTGCTCAGGCAGCCCTGCTAGCAAGGGTGGAGTGGGTCATGGACACTGGTCAGTTTGGTGAGAGGTTACAGGAAGCCCTGTTTACATGGCTAGTCTAGGGCTCAAGCCTGTAGGTTAGGTCTGCAAGCACTGTCAGCATGCTATCCATACAGTGAAAAGCAGACCATTGGTAGCTCTACACTGTGAAGACAACTGTCACAGCAACAGTCTGAAATGACCAGGTTTTACCTGCAATGTGTGTGTGCATGCATGTGTGTGTGTGTGTGTGTGTGTGTGCATGTGCATGTCTCTGTGTATGTGTGCATGTGTGTGTGTGTGCATGTCTGTGTGTGTGTGAGTGTGTGTGTGTGTGTGTGTGTGCATGTCTCTGTGTGTGGTAGTGCTTGTCTACCAGCTCAACCTCTGCAGAGGCAGCTGTGTCACACGAGCTGATGCAGAGCTCTGTGTCATCAGATGGACTTCCTCTGGCTGGGCCCTTAGAACAACGAGAGGATCTTCTCTGACTTGTCTCTTCCTTTTCTAGACAATGAGTATGTGTTCATGGACTTGAAGCAAAAGCTCAGCAAGTACTTCTCAAAGGACTGGAAGACAGATGTATACAAAGTAAGTATGCGACTGAGGAAAGATCCTGACAGCCAGTGTTGTCACTGCCAGAATGGTTCCCTTGAGTTTGGGACCAGTATGTTCTGGGTCAGGATCACCCTTTTTCACTGGTCACCTGTTTGTCAGGGTGTCCTCTGGCATACTCACACTGCCCCCAAGTCTTAAGAGTGAGGGTGGGTGGGTCACTACCCTCATGTCCTCTATTTGATGCTTTCAAAATTTGTTGTTTTAAAATTGACAACATTCCATTTGAGTTTTCCCTGTTGGAGAAAAACAACATAACATATTACAATTAATTAACAAAAATTATTCACAACCAGTGAGACCTGAGTGTGGGATGCCCCCAAGCAGGCCTTTCAGAAGCTGCCCAGCTGTACATGCCCCACAGGGGTCTCATCTCCAGGTTGCGGCCTTTTTCTTCTCTCTTATATCTGGCAGGGGAATAAGAGACCTAGAGCACCCTTTATCGCCTTCTTCAGAGTGCAGTTCTACGTGGAAAATGGGAAGGCTATAAGGTAACTACACTGATGTCAAAGACACTGTTTAAATACCTTCCAGTGTGCTCTGAGAAAGAAAGGTCCTATTATAAGGTTGTGATTTTCTCAAAACCAGGCAGGAATCTACATCTGGTGGCTGTAGGTGAGCCTCAGAGTTCAGCTTTAAATGGGAATTGTGCTTCCTTCTGGATGTGCTAAGTCATTAAGTCTCCTTGGACAGGGAGGGTCCTGGGAAGGTTGAAAAGAGAACAGGTCTCCGAAAGGTAGATCTGCTGCCATCAGTGAGCTGCCTCAGAGATTGACACATAGTGAGTTCTTTAGGGACCATCAAAGAACTGGATGCTCTCCAACCAGAGCTATGCTGAGGGATCAGCTGGGCATCAGTGTCCTTAGGATAGCCTTTGGCAAGTGTTAGCCTGCTGCTGATGCCAAGAAAGTGTGGATGAGGGTATGGAAAGTTCTGGAGTCAGACAGGTGACTATAGAAGGCTCTAGAGAATGAGGGTTCCTGGCAGTAAATGAACAAGGCTCTGGAGAGTGAGGATGTGTAGCTATCAGGAAAGTTCTAGAGACGTATCAGCAGGAAAAGCCAGACTGAGGCTGGTAGACATGGTTCCTTGTACCAGTCGCCAGCCAGATGACTAGATTAAAAGATCTTGGAGAGTTTCTCAGAAGGAATACACTGTTTTTGGCTAGCTGAGGACACTGGATATGTAGAGTAGCTTACTGGGTGTCAAGTCTGTGGCATGGATTTGGTCCTATGCCAGAGACTCCAACTTCCATTATTTGGGAGCTCTCTCAAGTGACAACACTTGTTCCTGGGATCTCAGCTTCTAGAGGTCTATACCCACAGGGACAGCCCTTGTGTTGCTTAAAGCCCCTGACTTCATCCATGTATCATTAAGGACCCTGTAACAGGAGATGCCATGTGTATGGACAGACTACTGAGTGGCCATCAAGAGGGCTCAGAGGCCCGTGAAGCAGAAAGCCAGACCTGGGCAGAAGGAGGGGTGCAGTGCTAGCTGCCATGGGGGAGTCACTGTTCCTGATCCTCTACCCTGCTGCCTTCCAGTGACAAGACAGCTCGACAGCTGTACTACTGCCACCTGAAGGAACAGGTACTGAGGTCCAGGTGTATGCACAGAGAAGAGGCTTACTTTCTGCTGGCTGCCTGTGGGTTACAGGCTGACCTGGGCAACCACCAGGTGTTGGTCCATGTGGGCAGGTACTTCGAACCACATGCCTATTTCCCACAGTGGGTAAGGCTGTGTTCCACCCTCCTTGTGTGTGTGTCTGGCGGCGGGGGTGTCTGATGTCTGCTCATCAAGAACAAACTCTGAAATCCATGAATAAGGGGAATAAGGGAATAGCAAGGATATGAAGACAGAAGGATCCAATCCAAGGGTGTTCACCAACTGGCAACACCTATACTGCAAAGGCTGGCAGTGTTGTGTAGGAGCTATGACCAGTAGGCCATTTCTTCAGCTCCTATATAAGCCCAGATAGCTTGACATCTCTGAGTATCTTGCTCAGCTGCAGAGTCTTATTCACCCAGTCTTGGTAAAGACAAGGAAACACAGGTACCTCAGGCTCCCTGGGACTCCAGTTCCTCACCTGTATTCTGGAAAGAGTTGGTGAGTGAGAGCTAATTCTCCTTGCAGAATCATAAAGTGACTGCTATGCATGAATAAATGGTTCTGGGGACTGCAGGCCCCACCCATGTTCTCCCTAACTGATCCCAGCCCACACTCCTCACTGTCCCATGTGCCTTAGGCCTCACACAGCTGCCTTGCAGAGCTCTCTCCAGTGCCATGCTGGAGGCCAGGCAGCTTTTCTCAAAGCTTCCTTCAGTCCACACTCACACAGTTCCTCCCTGGGAAAATTTCTCAAGAACAGTGGCTGTGGGGTTGAAATGAGCTACACAGACCTCTAAGGAGAGGTGCTTTTGCGGTCCCTGTGGGCACCTGGATGACATGAGAGGGTAGAGGAACCAAAGATTTAGAAGCAACACATCCTCACCTTCGGGTCTGAGGCTAAGGCAGAGGGTCTAACCCACTCTGCTGGACATAGTCTTTGGCTAGGGAGTTGGTTCTGACCCAAAAGGTCAGAGGAAGGGAGGTCAGTATGGAGAAAGGGCAGTGTGGGGTCTGAGCTAGCTGCTGGCTCTGTCCTCAGATCATCAACAAGAGAGGAGTTGATTACATCCTAAGGCATGTGCCTGCCATGCACCATGACAATCAGGGTCTGACTCCAAAGGAGGCAATACTTCGCTTCATCAGGGATGCCTGCCAACTTGAGGATGTTCCTGTCCACTTCTTCAGGATGTACAAGGTTGACCCTGAGGGATGGGAGGAACCCGGGACAAGTGTGGTTCTCTCCCCCGTGTCTGACAAAGTGACTAAGACTCCTGGCAAGGATAGGCAGGACAGTCCTCAGGGCCTGGTTGGCATGTGGAGAGTTGGTGGCTTTCCTGGAGGTGGCATGCTGAGTTTCTCTGGTGTTTGAGTTCTATTAAGCCTTTGTGCATCCTCTGCTGTAACTAGTTTAGTCTCATATTGATTGGACTGTTATGACTGGCCTCTCTGGCTGTCTCACATTCAATGCCTGAGCACTGCATGGCTTTGTTCCTGGGTGGGAGCCTCCCTTAGATGGAATTAAGGGTGGAATTTTAGTCTATGAGGTTCACAGAACTCAAATATCTACAGAAGCCTACCACATACACATATGTTCTGGGCATATGTAGGATGACAAGAGAGGCTTAGACAGAACTCTTGGTGTGTGGGTCCTCTAGCCTATTACATCTTATACTTGCTTCAGAGCCAAAGCCTAAACCTCTGTGCTGTGTTCTTTTAGGAAAAGAAGGAGGATCATCCTACTCTTCTCCTGGGAATCACCCTGAAGGGAGTAACCATCTGTCAGGTGAGGTCTCCTCTTATTTCTCTCCCATCTCCTGTTGCCCCAGAACTTACCACATGCTCTGGTTTCCACATCCCACATTACCTCTGTCTTTTAGGAGGCAGACTACACTCCACAGCTGCTCTGCGACTTCCCCTGGTCACATATTTCGAAGGTGACAATTATGGTGGGTGTCTGAAGGGGGAATGTATCCATAAAGCTCAGGAGTCCTAAGAACCTGGGACCCAACAACTTCATCCTCAGGATGGCATCAAGAGTTGCCTGAGGCTTCTTCACACCCTCAGGCATCTCTCAGTCTTGGTGGTTCTCACAGAAACGTCTGGTGACACAGACTTAGTGGTATTGAGCTCTCTGAGAGATGTACAGCTCTGGATGCCACCAATTTCCAAGATCCCACTCAGAAACAAAGGGAAAAGACATGGTACCTTAGAGATACACCTGTCAGCCTCTGTCCCCCTTCCTTATTCCCAAAGCTATGACAGTCAGGATTGCTGGACAGCAGGCTTCCTGCAGACACTGATTAGACTTCACTGCAAATCCTGTATGCAAAGCTTGTATACATAGGAGGGCTGCTACAGGTTTCTTCTGCCTTAATAATGTTGCACACAGATCGTACTCCCAGTTACCTTACACCTGTTTCCACAGGGATACCAACTCTCTAAACTGGAAGTGTGGGCCAGGGCCTAGTTGGGGATTATGGTTGACACTAAGTTATTTCTCTTGCTTCTGGGACTGTTTCTGGACTGTAAAAATCACATTACCCTTCCAATCTGTCCAGGGGAAGAAGCTGGAAATCCAGCCAGAAGGACTGTTGGCAACACAGAAGCTGCTGTTCTACACAGGTCATGCCTGGCGCTCCCGTTACCTGCTGCAACTGCTTCGTACCACCCACGAGCTCCACCTCAGCTTCCAGCCTGTGCTGCAGTGGTTACAGCAGCTGGAGGAGGCAGAAAGTGGGTATTAGATCCACCTGGGTCTGGGCACCTAGCTGATGGCCACACACCCTGTCTAGGGTCTGAGGATATAGCATATCAATCCTTGAGACCCACTCCTGGTGTTGGCTGGCTATGCTGTGCTGGGCATCCAGACCACGCCTTCTGTAGCAAATCATCATTGCTGGTGGGCATCAGCTGTTTTCCTCCCTAAGGGGGTTAGGATGAAAGGTAGGATTGATTTTTCCTTCACTCCAAGATGCCTATGATTCTACAGTGTCTCTTCCCTTACATCCTTAGCCCTGAAAACAGAAAAGATGCAACCTGAAAGGTGGTAGCCTTAGTGCTACCCAAAGATCCACTGTTCTCTCCAGTTTTCAAAGACTCCACTGAGAGAGGACCTGACTTACTCCACATCGAAGCCACAGTGCACTGGCAGGAGTGTGTGCCTGTGTCTGTGCATGCACATGCATGTATGTATGTACATGCATGTGTCCATGTGTGTGTGGGTACATGTGTACATGCCTGTGTATATGCATGTGTGTGTATGGGCCAGTGTGCTATGTGTGCTCATGAATGTTTGTGTCAGAGAGGGGGGAAGGGAGGCAGGGAGAGAGAGAGAGAGAGAGAGAGAGAGAGAGAGAGAGAGAGAGAGAGAG